AATAGTATAGCATTGAATGCAAACAAAGTGAGTGAATGTCGTAATCATTGAATTGTTTACTAATTGTTATCAATGTTTGACTCATTATTCACGACTCGATTGGCGTTTAATAGCAATTGAATGCATCTATGAATCCATTTAACTCTTGATTCAATCCATTGTTAGCGCTATTTATTGTAATTGAATACAAATATAATTATTAATTAGTGTTTCAAGTGATTGTCAATTGATTGGTGACTGTCATGGACTTCGACGACGATATCATTTACAACAATATCTCTGACTCTGGAAACGAGTCGACAGATGAAGAGGACGACGGGCTGTCTGTGGCCTTAGACGTGGAGCCCATCGGTTCCCATCACAAGGAGAGGATGGAAATGGATGAGGACTTCCCCTACGAAGTGCTCACCACTGAGTCGATTGTCGAGCATATGATCGACTCGATTAGGGACGTGAACACTGTTGTACAGGTATGTTGACCACCTGCACCACCACCACCTGACACTTGATTGCTCTGATCTCATGCCATGACAGCTGCCGCCAACCATCACTCGAATCCTATTGAATCACTTCAAGTGGGATAAAGAGAAGCTATACGAAAGGTTTGTCTCATTGACCATCACTTGTGTCTCATTGGCCATCACTTGTGTCTCATTGACCATCACTTGTACCACTTGTATGTCTCACTCACACTCACACTTACACTCAATGGACAGGTATTACGACGGCGACCAAAACGAGTTGTTCACTTCGGCGCATATCGTTAATCCCAACTCTGACTTGAATCCTAACAAACAAATTAAGGTTCACTTCATTGCCATCACTCTTACCATTGAATCCAATTTGACTTATAGTTGTTATCAATTGCAGAAAAATAGTCACAACGGAATGGAAACCTGTATTATCTGTTGTCGAGATCTGCCATCATCTGTAAGACTTGATTATCACTCATTGATGTTTAGTTTGATTTCATTTGACTCTTGTATTTCAGTTGATGACAGGTCTTGCTTGCGGTCACCGCTTCTGCAAAGGTATGCAATGAATAGATAATGAGTGAAATGAATGTAAATATTGTGAACGTATGGACAGAATGTTGGGTTAATTACTTGACAACGAAGATCATAGAGGAAGGACAGGGACAGAAGATCTCATGTGCCGCACATGGATGTGACATATTAGTGGACGACCAGACAGTTATCACACTTATAACTGAACCTAAAGTGAAACTCCGTTATCAGCACCTCATCACCAATAGCTTTGTTGAGGTATTCATGCCATTAATCTCTTTGGGCATTATGTTTGACGCCATTGTTTCCGACTGTCAGTGCAATCGACTGCTGCGTTGGTGTCCGAAACCCGAGTGCTCTCATGTGATACGTGTTTCGTATGTCGACTTCCATCCCGTCAAATGTGTCTGCTCTACAGTCTTCTGGTATTATCTCATCCATTGGCTCTCAATGGCAAGCATATGACTAACATTTACCATTTGTTGGCATAGTTTCCTGTGCGGCGAGAGTTGGCACCAACCGGTTAAGTGTGATCTCCTCAGGAAGTGGAAGAAGAAGTGCGACGACGACAGCGAGACATCCAATTGGATCGCAGCCAACACTAAGGAGTGTCCCAAATGTCAAGTGACTATTGAAAAGGACGGCGGCTGTAATCATATGGTATTTACATGTGTTTGATTGTCTTATTTTGTTCATTGAGTGCAACTCGTAAACTGTTGGCACTGTTTGCAGGTCTGTAAGAACCAGACGTGTAAAGCAGACTTCTGTTGGGTGTGTTTGGGTCCGTGGGAACCGCACGGCTCCTCGTGGTATGCATTGACACATATTCGTACTGTTGGTGAATGACATAAGTGTTGATGTGTTGGTCACAGGTATAGCTGCAACCGATATGATGAGGACGAGGCCAAAGCGGCCAGAGATGCTCAGGAGAAGTCCAGGGCTGCCCTCCAACGCTATCTATTCTACTGTAACCGCTATATGAATCACATGCAAAGTCTGAAGTTTGAGAACAAGTTGTATGCGTCGATCAAAGAGAAGATGGAAGAGATGCAACAGCACAACATGTCATGGATTGAGGTCCAGTTCCTCAAGAAGGCCGTCGATGTGTTGTGTCAGTGCCGACAGACTCTTATGTATACCTATGTCTTCGCGTATTACCTCCTCAAGACCAACCAATCGATTATTTTTGAAGACAATCAAAGAGATCTCGAGAGCGCCACCGAAAAGCTCTCCGAATATTTAGAGCGAGATATCACTCATGAAAACTTGTCTGATATTAAACAGAAAGTTCAGGACAAGTATAGGTGCGCTCAACACGCGCTATCACTGTAATTGTGCTGTTCATGACTAACTCTTTTACCAATTATATGTTCAGGTATTGTGAAAGTAGACGCAAAGTGCTGTTACAACACGTTCAGGAGGGCTATGACAACGACTGGTGGGAATACACTGTCAAAGTAGACCGAGTTTAAGTCAAAACAACTGTTATATTCGTCTATAAATGTGTTTCTCTATGGAAACTCTATTTAAATTAAGTTTATTTGCAATCTAACCGTTATTTCGTATAACAACAGATTTGGAAACAAAACTGAATAAGAATTTAAATTATGTATCGTAATGATTATACAATTAAGATATGATTGCAATTTGCAACTGATTTCCAACATTTTAAAATTAACTTAATGTTAATTATAAACGAATGACAGTTTGCACTAAATATTGTAATTTATTATAAATTCAATTAAAACTACTTTTTATACAAGTATTCACAGATTGTGTAAATTATGCCAACTTTTTGCTCTTTTTTATAGTTTCGGTTTTGTTTCTCTCTTATCTTTCTGTTGGATTTCTCTTTAATTCACTTTTTTACTTATAATTAATTTCTTAATAAACTTTAAAAATATATTTAATTATCTGTTCAATTGTTTGTTTGATATAAATTCGTAATAAATATCAGTTTTATTAAATCATGAATTATTAATACCGGTATTATTGGAGTCATTAAAGACAGACACAGAGAGCTTACACAACACACAACTCCTACTGTAGCCGTGTCTTACAGTTATGTTATTCAAGACAATTGTCATACATTATCTGATCAATGTCATTTTTTGGTAAATATTTATTTTTATTGATTTTGAAACATTTTTCCGCAAATATTGACAATATATAAGCCATTGATTTTGGGACAACAGAAGAGACAAAACTCTGCTATCGATTCATACAATGAGTACAAAGCAGTGATTGTAAGCTTTGAACTAATGGTTGGTTCAGTTATACTGTATGTTTTCGTAATGTCTTCAGTGATGATCAACTCACACCACAAACAGATTCTTTTATTCAACAGTTGATTGTTTGACACCAAATATTAACCACTGCTGTCGACTCCACTCAAACATACCTCCACTTAGAGTTCAATCAACTATTATTACGGTACCTATTATTTAAAGGATCAACAAATATATTGATAATAATACTAATAATAATGACTATGGTCATATTGTATGAGTAATTTGTTTGTCAAGAATTGATCCCAAAAATGGATTCAATGCCTAATATATCATATTCCCATTCCTCATATGATGTGAGTTCATACTATAGACTATAATATCTATTCATTGGATTCATTAATAGGAACCGATGTGAACACCTTAAGAGGTCCTTAAGAGGAATATGAGATCATAGCCTTATATTCATATTTGCTTTCACTATCATATATATCATTTGTATTATTTATGAATGCATCCAAAATATATCATATTATACTTTCATTTGATGTTTATTCAATTAATCATATAATACTTAATTAGTGAAGTAATAATTAAATATTTAAATTTCTTAATATTTAAACCATAATCGCATCCATATATCGATGAAGAGATGGAAGGATTTGTTTGATAAGGTTTGCCATCATTTTGTTGATTATATTCTTATAGCTATTATTCTGTAAATACACTGCAATTATCAAATATTCTATACAGTAATGTATAAACATTTTAAATAATAGGGAATAATATAAATTAACCCAAAAAAGGGAGTAATTTTGTGTAATAAAGACCGCACCCTCTCTCACATCCCTTTCCCTGTCGTCCTTTCTATTGTGGTCTCAATTTGTCGATTCACTCAACACATGAACACTATATAATATATTATATTCTTGTGGTCATGTGTTTCATGAACTAAACCCATAAGAAGACATTATTCAGTAATAAGTTTATTGTTTTGCTTACAGTATTTTCCATGACTTTTGTTTAGTTAACAGTAATTATAATTTATTCATAACATTCAACCAAATTTGTACACTTCAACGAACTTTTTATTGTAAAACATTTTAATTGATTTGAATACAAGTCTAATAAACGAGTTTTTGTTATACAATAGTAGTTAACTTTAGGATATAAATGAAAATTAGACCAATTATTGAAAAATAGAGCAAATATTATACAATTGTGTTAAAACATTAAATTGAATGTCATTTAAATTATTGATTAAATACTTTCATATGATATCAAGTATGACAGCGAAGGCTTCGGAAGAATATCGAGTGAAGACTTTCTCGTAATTCTCAACACAAAAGACTTTCGCGAAGTAATAGACAGCACAAGAAGAGCCCATTTGAAGGGAAAAGTACTGGAATACGGGACCAGTTTTATAACACGTCAACAATTCTTGAATGTCGTAAGTGTTGGACATTAGTTGCCATTCATTCAATCATTCAATCATTTCTCAATGTGTTGTCAATTTGTGGCAAAACTATATTGTCTTTCGAAATGGTTTTGTTGTTAATGATAAGATTGAGTGGATTATCGACGCGAATGCTTTTCAATGTATAGTTCTTGTCTTCGATGT